TTCTGTAATTCAGAAAAAGTAGATTCAGAACCACTTTGAATCTTTTTGCACCAGTACAAAAATAGCTTTATCTATTTATAACTGCAAGTTATCTGCGAACACAGTGTACGAATACAAACACGGAAGGTTATTCCAATGGGCTAATCCTCCGTAATTGTTGGATCTGTCGGGATCAATTTAATTCATTATGGATCCGCAATACATCGCCCCGAATTGGCGTCAGCTCCAGTTACAAATATTAATTTCAGTGACTTTGTTTTCCTCCTTGTTTGACTGACGTGATGAAGTTGCCTCTAGATCCAAAGGTTCGGGGTCCGGTCCGCGACATTCGCACAGGAGTCAAATTATTTCACTTTTATTTTCCTAATTCACTTTCAATAATGAGCCTTTACAATAACTTCATGTGACGTCAAAAAGAAAATCCAATAACTTCCTCTAGAAAATGTTTTCGGAGGAAGAAACTGTAATTTAGAGCACGCCCATACTATTTCACTAAAAAAAATACAGAAAATATGCCACGAGTAGGAGGCCAAACTCTGAAGCCAAATACCGTTGATGGCATCTTGTTTTGCCTTTTATCTTTACTTGAGCCACCCTGCATTCACCCTGCATTCTTTAGTAACAAATCGCAACATTCATAGCCCTTGTAAAGTTTAGTTTGTCCCAGTTGCCCCCAGTTCGCGGTTAACTGACCCACTTCCGACTGCTCAGATGTTACCGACCCGATTGCTAATAGATATTGAGGGGGATTACCCTGTAACTCCACTAAAATATTCCATAAGCCGCGTGTTTACGGCTGATTGATATGTAACCCCCGTCTGTCAGGGCCTACGTGTACAGCCAGAGCCAAAAAATTCGTACGATTTAGGATGCTGATACATCAACACAGGCACAAAAACTGTACCTACCTACTTTACATACCCGATACATACACAATTACACATACAAAGAAAATCTTATTTAAATTACCTATGTATATGCAAAGATCGCAAGGTTTCCATAATAAACAATCTTTCTGTGGTCGAAGTTATTGGTCGAAACATAATTATGTACTGACATGTATTCATTATTTTCACTCTCCAGATAGGGAGTGAATTATTAATAAGTGTTGGCGGCTGGCCAATTGAACAATAATCTATCCCAGAAACCTAAGGTGACCCCAGAACTGAAAACCTATATCGATTCACAACCTTCATCGTTTAAAACATAATTATCTTAAAAGATTGATAACAACCCCAACGAAGTTAGAAGCTGCTCCTAACTTTAAACTCCTGAATTTTTTTTCCCTCTCCCTCGGGACGTGTGTATAAGTCCCATACGAATGTTGTCTCTACTTAGGCTAAATCACTTCCTACACTCAATCAAGAATTCCTTTTTAAGGCTTACGTCGTAAGAATGCCTCCGAGATGTTTCTAATACAGGCCTGCCAGTAGAGGCCTAATAGTTAGGATCGTTTCCGCTGAAAATCACTAGTGTGAAAGGTTTTGTATTCACTGCTTGTTATTGTGCACGAAATGAATAATGCCCACTCTAGTGTTTCTGAGACTTTATGAAAAAAAAAACAGGAAATTCGATAATGTGCAAAAGCTAGTATTTCTAACAATATTATTATATGCTTTGTTAATTATTATTTTTAACCACAACGAGGAAGCTCTTGACCTGTATCTAACCTGATGGTAAGTGATGATCAGGCCGAAGGTGGAAGCGAGCTTCATCCGGAATCCCCAACCACGGAGGAAATCTGTTTTAATAAGCACCCGTTTAAATACCATATAACTAATGCTTAAAGGTGAGGTCAATGAAACTTATTAATATACTTTTTTCCATGTTTTAAGTAGGTATAAAACATTTAAACTATTTAGAATGTTGTCTGTGAGCTGATGATGGATTTCATAGACATGTAGTGTCCAAGTCCATGCTTAGCATGAAATAACGATTCATTGATGAGAAACAATTTACCAATAAATATGAGGTTATAAGAGACCCAATGAGTTTCCACGAAGCTAAATAAGTGTCCCCTCAGTAATATCCTAAGGCACTAAGCGCTAATATAATTCAGCTGGTCGGATTGCAGCGGCAGCGAGTCTAGGGGCCTACCCTAAAAAAACATTGATATTTCACGCTTGTTCGTCTCTTTCACCCCACCTCGGTATACTGGTGTAAATGAAAGAGATGGATCATACTGAAACCGTAAAATATTTTCGATATTCAGAGATCCTCGCCGCTTCAGTCAGCTTGCGTCGACGCTGTAAATTTTCCTGGAATTTAGTTTATTTTTCAGAACCCGATCCAGCCAGACGACAATTTAAAATAATGGAGTATTTTCACAAAGCATTACGTAAATAATAATCTTTTAAAATAGCGCATGAAAGTGAAATCCATAGCTCAAGCTCTACTTAGTTTGAGGATTAGACAATAAACACTGCTCTTTCATTTCTGTTCTTTTTGAGACCGCTAACAGCATCATAATTTATACGAGTACTTAATAATTACCCTTTTGTAATGTGTTCAAAAACTTTTTTTAGACTTGCACGTACGTATTAGCAATGAATTGATACCTTCCTTTGTTGATAGGTGTAATCTAAAAAGTCTTACGTCATAAGCAGATGACATACACATATACACAATGAATCATTTCGCGATCGTCTTGTATCAATCAAGGATTCCATTGTGAAGGCGGCTCTTTGAACATGTGACTCATTGAGGAGCCTCGGGGCTGGCACGTGGCAGCTCAAACGTGCCCCGATTATTAAGAATTTTGACAATTGTAAGTAGGTACGTACATGTGACCTACTAAAATGAAAATTTATTACTTTGATACTTGCTACGATATCTGGAATATTTTATGGTTCTATAAGTATCACTTACATAAAATCTATATATCTATATCTATATATATAAAAGAAAGTCGTGTTAGTTACTCCACTTATAACTCAAGAACGGCTGAACCGATTTAGCTGAAAATTGTCAGGGAGGTAGTTTAGAGCCAGGAGAAGGACATAGGATACTTTTTATCCCGTTCGAAATAAAAAAAAGTCTGCTTATTTATTGCCATTAAGGCGGAACAAAGTTCGCCGGGTCAGCTAGTCTATTATATAAAAGAAAAAGTCGTGTTAGTTACTCCACTTATAACTCAAGAACGGCTGAACCGATTTAGCTTAAAATTGACAGGGAGGTAGTTTAGAGCCAGGAGAAGGACATAGGATACTTTTTATCCCGTTATTTATTGCCATTAAAAGGCGGAACAAAGTTCGCCGGGTCAGCTCGTTCAAATTAAGTACCTATCTAATATTTTAAACTATTATGTTGCATTTTTACTATAAAATTATCACTTTACGGGAAACTTCGGGAGGGTAAATCGTCCATTTGCGACGACAGTGTGACATCGTCAATTAGATTAACACAGAAGATGTCACGTTGTCGTCGCAAATGGACGAAATATTTTATTTACCGTTAAAATAGATATTGTTGCAATAAATCCCGTAAAGTGATAATTTTAAAGTACCTATCTAGTTTAAATGGAAATGTGGGTAATCTTTTATTTTGAGACTGTAACACCTGAGAATTTAACACCTACTGATGTAAATCCATTTTCGCAAAATAAATGATTTGATTTGATTTGAAAAAAAGACATTTGATAGAGTTGGCCTCGGTTTAATGCTTGCTTAGTACCTATTCATTATATTGAATGGGCGCTGACCGCTCAAAGCAAAAATAAACACGAGCTAAAACTTGAGCTTGAGCTGACCTATCATCGCATATAATAGTCCCTTTCCCCATAGATGGGGTGACCTTTTAAATAACAGTTAGGTACCTACTTTCTATTCCTTTCAAGTACTCTACTATGCGCTCCACAAAATTTGAATTGGTGTTTTCATAAGTAAATTGGCGATTTCAAACACTTGGACATTTCAAGCAAAGTTCAAATTAAACGAATTTGTTTTAAAGCGATCGTAAACTAACCACACAATTCAATTCATGTACGAATTGTGGGTTTCATGAAATGAATGTTCCGTAACTAATGTTCTGATACTCGGATGATACTGTTTTATTTTGAAAAGCATCCTAAAATTAACAACTTACAAATATTCATGGGTGAACGCAAAACCAAGGGGACAAGACACAAAGACAATGCTATGAAGACAGTGATGTTCTGGAAAATGGGAAATATAGACACATCTACTATAATCTTTACAAATCCGTACAAATGCAGAAACGATATTATATCCTCGCCTAAAATTGTGAGCTGGTTAAAATATTATTTTAGATCCTTTCTATATTTAGCTTTTGCTATAGCTAAAATTAGGATCGTGTGTCTGGATATAACTTGAAAGTTTATGTTAACAGGTAAATATGTTACCCTTTCATACATGCATATACAAATATGTTACAAACGACTAAACGTCATGATCTTGACTACACAAAGTTTGAAGACACTGCTAGGCAGGCAGGCCGCACGTCCGCTCTACCTGACCTATGCCCTATATGAGGGCTGGCATTTCGCGCGTGCCACTATATCGAAATTAAAACACATGGCCGCCCGGGCGCTAAATGGTCTGTTTGTCATCGCGCCGCCCATTCTGCTCCCTTAACTAAACACTTGTCATTTTGCCGGCAATGCGCTATAATATTATTTTGTTTTATAAATATCCCTATTTGCGTACACTGAAACGTATGATGATGCAAGGGCTTTGAGAACATTTAACGATAGAGACTTGAGAGATGAGACTATGACAGAGTTAGGAGAGACTGATGACGATATTTGAAATGAATATGTAGGTACTATTAAATTACGTAGCGCTTTTACGAGATCTTTTTGAAAATGATGGCGATCGGTACTCTTACTTCTTCTTTTTTTATGCAGCACGAAGTAGCAATTTTACTGCGATCACACCTGTTGTTGGGTCGATTTCCCAAACACANATTCACCCTGTTAAATGAGATGCAGTGTAGAATGTTTTTACCCATATCATTGATGAAATATGTATCATTGTTGACAGATGCGTTGCTGCGTAGTAGCGCTGTGCTTGTCAGCGCTGTCCACGCTGGCCGCCGCGGCCGCGGAGCCCGCGCCGCACGACCTTGCTCCCGCGCAGGTAAATGCCCACTCATTATTTTATCAGCTTTATTTGTACATATTCCGAAATGGATATTATGTGTGTTATGCTATGCAAAAACACCTAAAACAGCGTGTCTACCCACAAGTTGGACCAACGACCTCATAAAGGTAGCAGGAAGGCACTGGATGCAAGCCGCTACCGACCGGTCAGTATCACTGGGGGAGGCCTGTGTACAGCAGTGGACGTCATTTGGCTGAAATAATGATGATGATGAAGAAAAATAGTCTTCGCTTGATAACGGGGTTGTCACAACTTTATTGATGACAATGACAAATTATATCGTCAGCTCAAAACGAAAAATTATATCTATTGTTTCTCAAAAGCTTTGGAAGACAAAAATATATGTAGTTCAATAAAAACGTGAAATAATTGCCAGTATGTAGTTTTAAATCTCATTTGAAATAAAAATACAGCAGGAAATGTACCATTGTGAAGCAAATTTAAAAGTAGACGAGAGAATAATTAACGAACAAAGTTCCACAACTCAGGAAAGTATTTTTCATCTGAAAGCTTTGGGCGCGGTTTTGTTTGTGAATTCTAAATATTAATGCGCAAGCGACTTAGTACGCGAGTTGCTAATTAGCTTGCACTGGACCCCGTCACAATGGAGAGCACAGGGACTACTAAATATCAAAACACTTGGCTTCAAAAAAGCACTTTTTAAGATTGTTAAGCTTGCTAGCGGTGAATGAACAATTTACGGAAGCTTTATTTTTGACAAGTAAACCACATGACAATCAATACATTTGTATAAACCTTCCATGAAACTTGTTTGTGTTATTTGCCGAGAGATGTCACTGCTCTTTGAGACACGTAAAGCTGTACCGCGGTGTCCAGATTTTTTTCCCTGGCTTTATATCATCATCAACAGCCCTTTACAGTCCACTGCTGGACTATGAGCCTCCTCCACTATAGTGGAGGGTTTTGCCATAATCTCCACGCTAGGCAGGCGGGTTGGAGATCGCAGTTTAAAAGATTGATGTTTTTCAGAGAGCGCTGCTGCCCATTCTCTGTTTGATGTGTAGTCCCTAAGTCGCCTCTTACGACACCCGCGGGAAGAGTAGGGGTTGGTGACAAATGTATTCTACTCTGCCGTCACCACACGGCTTAACTTAAGGCTTTATATACCTGGAGTATTTTAACACTTGTGAATGAACCTTTGACAACCTTTGTCAAGCATTAAATTGTCACCTATATATTGACGTCTTATTTAAACCTAGATAAGAGTCCCTTAAGTGCGCCGAGAGTATCCGTGGTTTATTCAACATTCATAAATTCCTCAATTACCATCGCTTACTAAAATACATAACGATAAACTTCTTCTGTTCTTTTTCTTGTAATGTTAAGTATTGGAATATGAACATAAACCTACGTGTAAAGAAAAGAAACAAAACGTCGAAGCGTTTTGTTATTGGATGACTCGCTCGCCTCTAGCGCGTTTCTATGAACTAATTTCTGTCTGTCTCTCTCGATAACGTAAATACAGTTGATTTGTACTTTTTTCNATCTAGACAAGTAGTTGTGGTTTCCGTAATTCTAGTTGCTTCCTTAAATTGACTAAACAAGTTAAATGACTGAAAAAGGGAAAGTAGTCTTACAGAATATGATGATGAGCTATCTAGTAAATTGACGTTAAAATCTCCACAAACTAAGACCTTTTTGTTGCTGTTACAAGTTTTATTAAGAGCATCCTCAATAGCCGCTTCAAAAATACCAAAGTCCCCAGAAGTTACAATTTAAAATAGTAATTACTTTCTAACTGTTGTTTTACTTATATCATTAAGCACAACAAGAGTGCTTTTTAGTCGCCGGTGGCTCTACGATCAAGAACGATTCAATTCCTATCTAATGCGTCGTGAAGAAATCGATTATCATTCACCGGTCCAACTGAACTGCCGGCAGATAATTGGCAAATAAATAGAACTTGCCTAAATGGCACCAAAGTTTAAAAAAAGCTTCATTATTATGGAAGGCCGATCAGTACACTTCTCGATATCTAGTCAACTAGCCTTACCTACTCTGTTTCTGGCTCGGAACCATTCTGAGCTAACAATATTGGTTTGTTCCAAATAATGTCCATAAAATTCCAATTTATGAATGTTTAATCCAGGAGCAAACTTTTCTAAGCCGCGTGGAGCGCTGAAAGAACAATCGGCCGACAAGGCGCAAAAAGGCGCGGACCCGACCACGAAAACTTTGCGAGCTTTTAACTCGGGGCGCCACTGGCAGCGGGAATGCTCGTTAAGGCGCAACAAGTATATAAAACTACGTCTAGTAAATAAATGATCCAAATATATTGTCGTTTCAAACAAATACCTATTAGTTAAATATAAAACTGAGGAGACTTACTAAGTGACAGATTTTTTTTTATTGTTCGTGATTAAGGACTTTGATGATGTCATGAATAATAGTGTTTAATTGTTTCTCCAAAGTTGTTAATAGAGACATTGCAGTCATAATATGCACAATATTATTTAGATACCTAAACCAAAAGCAAAGTCTTCTGCCATTCCCGTACCTGGCATAAGGCAGACATAACCACATAACAATGTTAACACCGTCAAGTTGCAAACACAGTAGCACTAGTTGGTTGCACCCGCCGCTCCTTGCAACTAACTTCGGAACATATTCAACTTCGTTACTGACTTTTGCGCCGCGCGATAACCTCAACTTGCCTTAGTGAAATTACGAGTATAATGCAACGCTATTTGAGCTCATTTTCATCAGTAATTAATGTGTGGGTGCTACATTTCCTTTGGTTATAGACGTGCAAGTAGATGAGCAGCATTAGTAAATCCAATTAAATCTACAAAAGTGCACCATAAAATTACTAAGGCTAAGATGCACCACCTAACCTTGACCGTAACTTTGACGATAACCGGTGCTTTTTGTATGGATTTTGACAGATTTTTGACTTTTTTCAAAGTTAAAGTAAGATGGTGTAACCCAGCCTACGAGTAAGTATCACCAACAAAAAGACTCTCGCCATTTTTTCTAGTAAATACATATTATGTATTAAACATAATTATTATTATTAAAAATAAATTAATTTACTCTTTTACTAAGTAGAATCAAAGATTGTATCAATTACAATAGACATAAGGGATATTACGTAGGTACATATTAGGTATAATACCTATCTGTAATCACTGAAATGGAATAAGATAATGCGAGAGTAACCAATTCAATAAGATAGTTTCCAAAAACGGCTGGCATCAGTTCGCTACTGAATCGTACTGATGCCTCGTAGATATCAATATTTAATTTATTTGAAATACATTGAAGTGAATCAAAAAGGCCTAAATTAGTCAAAGTCAAAGTCTGTAGGTACCTACATAGTTCTTAGCAAAATTAGAAATACATTGCAGTCTCTGCGTGAATTGCAACAACTTATTTATGTTCTTAACACTTGTTATGATGGCATAGATCCTCATATTGTTTAAAAACTAAACTGTTTATGGAAAGACTAGTATGACATAATAAATACTGTAGAAAAAATCATGAGGAAATGTACTATGGAATAATGTGAAAAAATAGGTGTGTGACAACCCTAATAAAAGTCGCAAAACGCCGGGGATTTCACCGGCATGTTGTTTGGGCTCAACTTAAGCGAATTATTAAAACTAATTCGCTTATAATAGAAAATAGAAACGCTTTATAGTCCTTGGCTTTAGAGACCGCTGCCACAAGATTAGCCTTCGCCACGAATTAATAATGGCACCATAACGCTTTTGTGTTATAGGAAAACTTTATACTATCTGCAATAATGTATGTTTTAAATCAAATAAACTAGAACATGAAAATCATAAAAAATACATTTTTCATATATAAGTAAGTAAACATTTTTATCAAATAATAAAGGTACCCTCAGTTCCAAAGTAAACAAATACGTAGAGTTTGTAAAAGCATCATTAAAATCTCATTAAATAAATTTGAGATTACTTGGCAGAACTAGGCCTGGTAATGTGCCTGCCAATTGCCGACTCGTTACTAATGTTGCCACGAACTTTGCGAGCAACTTGGCTTTAACTTTTGCGGCCACCTGGCTGGTTGATCTTGTAGCAGTCTACATCGCTAGTTGACACAGTCCTGGGACCGAATCCCACTATCTTTCTCATTAGTTGGCTGAAACTAAGACTGATATATGATAAGAAAAAAAAAAGTGATGTTACGAATTATAATTTTATTGTACTTGTGGGAAATATACCAAACAGAGCCGCATAAGCAGGTCTGTTGCGGGAAATGACCTAATTATATCCACATCTGGGACGCTCACTCATTCATCACTGAACAATGGCTCCCGCTCACTGCCGAAGTGGGAAGGCGCCGTTAGATGCAGGCTTCATGCTTGTTTGTTCCCGGTAAAACCGAGAACTTGAGATTGATTTTTTGTTTTATGTATGTCTATAGTAATTAATAAGTAGCCTTGGTATCTAAATTGAGTCATATAAGTTACCATCACTTCGTTCTTTTGAACTAACATTAAATGAAAATACAAGCTAAATGCACAACAACTTTATTCTCTAAAAAGGATGTGAATTAAAATTAATCTTCTATTACAGAATGACAACGAATTAGAACTAACAGAAGAAGAAAAACAAGCGTGGCAAAATCTACATGGAGGCTGGGGCAAACGCGGGTGGCAAGACATGAGCTCCGCGTGGGGCAAGCGAGCCTGGCAGGACCTCAACTCCGCCTGGGGCAAGAGAGCCTGGCAGGATCTCAACTCTGCTTGGGGCAAGAGGGGCTGGCAGGACCTCAACTCCGCGTGGGGCAAAAGAGGCTGGCAAGACCTTAACTCCGCATGGGGCAAACGCGCCTGGAGGGACATGTCCCAGATGCCTTGGGGCAAGAGGGGATGGCAAGACATGAGCTCTGCCTGGGGCAAGCGGGGCTGGAACGATATGAGCTCTGCCTGGGGAAAGAGGGGATGGAACGACATGAGCTCTGCTTGGGGTAAAAGGGGTTGGAATGACATGAGCTCAGCTTGGGGAAAACGCGGCTGGCAGGACATGAGCTCGGCTTGGGGCAAGAGAGCACCGGTAAGTTCCAAAATGTAGCACAATTGAAGTAAAATAACTCAGATATAAGCAAAGTTGAAGAGTATATGAATAGTATAGTGAAAAGTTATATTATACGTATCTTTTAAATGTCTCTCTTTAAATGCCTCGCATACCGCTTGAAAAATGGCACTATATCTATTTAATTTGTAATAGGAAAAATGGGCGAACTTCCACGGATCATGGGGCAAGCGATCAGGACCCGAGACCGACTACGAAGATGTTGAAACCATTGACCAACTGATTCCGATCCAACAGGTAATACAAATCAATGATCAATCATGTTGCAATTTGAATCCAATAAGCCAATAATCAAATTCTAATATTACAATCCCTAATCATTATTAATCTTGGCAGACTACAGACAGACATCCTAATAACTGTGTACAATGTGTTTAACGTCAGTTAACGATATGAATAAATTAAAAACACATAAACGTCTGTCTGTGAGTGTTGAGAAATGGACGTGTGATGAATTTACCAATTACTATGGTAATTGGTCTGGTGCACACACTGCTAACAGTGCCAACATTTCCCCGTCATAAACCTTTTTAGATGTATCCTTTCTGGGAGCGACTTTAATTCATCGAGGTCTTTAACATGATATGAATATCAGGTATTATAAAAATAATATTTNTTACCTCCTCTGTCTTTTGTGATGTCCATAGCAATAAATGTTTCTTTCTTTCTTTTCTTTTCTTTCAATTGACTTGGACCAACTCGCTGACTGCTGAGTGACGACACACGATACGATACGTTACGCGCGAGTGTTTCTACCGCTTCCATTACAATTAGGCACAGGGAACACATCACTTTTATTTTATTTGCACAAGGTATAGAACTAACTCTAAATAAATAACGTAAATAAACACAATGACTGTGTGTATGTCATAATAAAGTACCTCTCGGTCTCTTTTCGTGATGGTTAGCAAGCTGTTAGCGATTGCATAATCAATACCTAAATTTTCCAAAAGCCTTTACTTAGTTCAATCAACGTCTCTATTCCCGTACGATTGAAAACGGCGTTTTCGTGCCGGGCGTGCGTGAACTCTCGGCCTTAGGCTCACTCCCACTCAAGCCAGCATTAGACGTATTACGTTATCCGAGGCTACCCGGCGCGTGACTCCGACCGTGAACGTACGTGTTCACGGTGTCACTGGATCACATGCCTTTTAGCCAGGTGTAGTACCTAATTTTTGAAACATGAATCTTTTTGATACTTATGTGAAATGACAATGCAATATTCTTTTTTTTTCTTAAGTCTGTAAAAATGTGCCTTATTTGTAGAATAAGTTAAATGGTAACCCTACAAAAGGAACATACTGTACCTGGTAGAGTCTAAAAATAGAACTAACTATCGTCAAACCTCCAAACGTAGTCACGAGTAACTTGACGCTTTTTGGGTCCAATTCGGCGCAAACAATAATGCAAAATTAGTTCTAATAAAATATTACCCATACAAAATACTTTCATTTTTTATCTGCTTTAATTCGCAAACCCACATTTCTATTTCGTTTAATTCAAATTGGACTAAATTCGAAGTTTCCTAATCCGTTTAAATGAGCGCGCAGCGGAAGTGATCGGCTAAGAATAGGGCGTCTATTAGCGCCCGCCCGCCCGCCGTTACACACGTAATCTAGGCTGAACCATGTAGGGTTGACATACACAATTTGTATTCCCATTAACTTGTCTAAAACTGTGTGTATAACATCCGTTAATAACTTGCAAACAAAACATACAGCTAGCGGCATAAATTTCAAATAAGCTTTTAGCAATAATAGCGCATATCGGCACGAAACAACTTCTAGTTTGATCTACGAGTGATAAATGTACTTAATAGAATTTTAAATAATTTTCATTCTCGGATAGTAAACAGTTCTAATCTGCATTATAACTAACCAGTATTGTCTGGTAAACGCCGCGCCGTCTGCTGCTCTATTATTCACTGCGAGCTTAAACTACACAATCCATTTGAGTTCGGCGAAAACACTAATAAAACCTGCGTGGGTCGAATTCATTCTTCGCGTATTTCGGGCTCTGCGCAAATCTCCGAAGTTTTGTTATAATTTACGCAAGGTTATTATGAATCATTCCGCGCTACAAAAGGCAGTATCGTCCGTAACGCCTTTGTGTAGCCCCATTTGGGAATTAAAGGGTCGCCTACGGAGATTTCACAGATGGTAAAATGTTACGCACGATTTAAAAATTAGATTTTTTCTAAGTTAAATAATAATGTAACGTAAACTAAAATTATTTGACCGTAAACCAAAGAAGCAAAAGAATGCGCGAATTCTTTAAAATTTAAGCAACACCACTGTTATTTAAATCCCAACTCTACCAAACTACTCGTTACATTGCTGATAGATGATAGATAAACGCACCCACTCTTAATGATATCTACAATTGACATAATATTTGAAATGTAACCGTGCCCGTAAACAGAGCAACGCAAACATCAAGGTGCTGTACAAGTAGCGAGCTGTGTCGCCTATCAAGGAGCAATAACACTCGGCGGTCTGATGCCTTGTTTACGTGTTTGTCCCGTGAAATTAGACAAGGGTTGCGCACACGTAGGCTTTGAAACATAGTTTGAGGGCTTAGTTCATTATTCAAATTGATATTTATACTACAGGTGAAAATTGCCTGAGTCCCTCAAAATACGTATGCTGTGTCATACCATGAAAAATTACTTGTTAATTATTTTGTTATTTTAATTACTATAAAGAAGAAATACGCGTAAATTAAATAAATCGTCAAGTACAAATGCAGATACGAATAAGATCAATCTTCGCTCAGATTTTAATACAATAATCGAATGCAATTTCCGCGGGAAATAATCCCAGTGTCGGCTCAGTTTGCTTTAGCGCCAATCACTTCGAAACTTCGGCTTGCAGCATTTATTTTATATAGATTAATGAATAACGTTTGCCATTTCACTGGAATTATATGTGCTCTTTTTTTATTAAGCTGATTATTTAGTTTGAATTGGAGCGAAGAGTTAAGATCTTTAATTAAGCAGGTTTTAAAGGACCCGGTTACGAATAAACTATAATTAGTAATCATTTACATACTCGTAGGTCATGATAGTTCTGAAGTCTGTCATGTCGGTCTTTAGTTTTTAACATATTTTCAGCATTAAATAGGAGATATGTAGTACGGTATGGGTGCGTGATCGATGAATTGACGTGTCCGTCGAAGTAGAAAATTGATAGGTACCTTTCTTATTTTACGAACAAGATCGAAAATTAAGAGATCTATAATGATGACAAACTCTTCCAAAGAACTTAGCTATCAAATCACTTCGCCCACGTTACACTCGTGAAACTAACTCCCATTGCTGTCGCTACATTAGACCCTATTTCAGCTGGACGAGCCGGAGCAGATCGCGGAATCACCGGAGAAGCGCGCATGGTCCGCGCTGCACGGCGCCTGGGGCAAGCGCCCCGTCAAGCAGCACATCAACAGCGGTAAATATCACTACAATGCTGGGAATAACGCGGAGTTATCGATTTAGACGCTAACCAAGAATAGACCTTCTTTAAAATATTACTTACTAAAACAGTTGCAAAACAGATGATTGGTTTTTGTATAAATAATGTAACAAATACCATGATCATTAACAGTAATGTAATCTATTACAGATTTTTAAATGAAACGTCAAGTCAGTTGAATACCTCCAACCTCTATTATGCGTCTCAATCGAAAACATCAACGCGACGTCTTAACACCTAAACTTTTCAGTGAACCTACTCCAAAGTAGACACTAGACACATTTTACATTACTTATAGTCGAAATAACCTTCGCAAGTATCCCCTTTTCGCATAAATCTCTTGGAAGTTTGCAAATTAATCTATTTTAGCCTTAAATGCTGTAATGTTTCTCTCTCACTAATTAGTAGAATTGGCATTTATTTTGTGTCTATTTTCTAATAGATCATTACCTCTACACAAACCTTTTGCAGCATCAGTAGAAATTTAGAATAACTCACTTGGAGACTATTTTCTATTAGAACAATTTAAACACTTTTTCTATCCTATATCACGCTACAAAACTTGTTTTTTTAATGAGAAATTTCTGATAAAATACCTTAAAAAAATTACACAATCAATCTGTGAGCAGCGTTACGAAGAAGGCATGATTTTTTTTTATCCCCAACGAGGAATCAAAATATTGAGCCCATCTAAATCGATTGTTGTACAGCCGTACCTACTCAAAGTCTAACACATCCAGACAGACTTCACAATAGCGTCAAAATAGAGCCCACGAATAAACGTAGTGTAGAGTAGGCCCGCCTCCTCAAATTAAATTCTAAAACTGGCTCAAACCTGGTTTGGTAAGTCTCAAAGCTGACTAGTTTATGTACGCGTCGCTGCCCGCCGTATCCGGGCCCGAACGTCCGAACCGATCGCTCGTCACTCCATCACGCGGTTCCAGCAGGGCTACTCCGAAACGCTCTTTATGTAGTTTTGAGTCTATCTATCACCGTCGCTCATGCTGGCATCTCGCTTTGCATGAGAGGAATGGCAACATTCGAAACTTCGGATAAGCCCGAAGTAGCCCTTCAGCACCCTCGCTGAACGATGGCACCTGTCGGACCTACTCCCGCCCCGCGCGGCTACTCGCCGCCAACACCTATTAGCTAACAGAGCTTAAGTGACTGAGCAGATTAAATTCCGACGGAATTTTCATTGGAAGCCTGAACACGTCACTCAAGCTAACACGTATGTACATTGTACACTGAGTGGGAGAAACCGAGTAAGGTAATTTTATGTAAATAACAAAGGACTATTATCCACTATATTCCTTCATGCTGGGGCTCTTCTCCTCTTTTTATTGATCTACAATATTCGACAACACCTGCTACTGTAACAAATACTACTCTCATCCCTGATTACCGCGTTCAGCCGGGCTAGGATGCAAGCCATAATAAAATCTTATCGAATTTAGACAACAAATGTTTGGCCTTTCCGCATTAAATCGCAGCAGCCCGCTCACGGTCAAGAATCAACGACGGCCATGCGGGATATGTATCTAACGCTTCAAATTGAAAGAACAATACCAAAAATGGAGTAGTTAATCTAAACTGAATAAATCGAACGGTTTTATAAAAGTTGTATAATAAACTAACTGTTCATCTGTGCGAATTTTTTCACGTAACGAGAAGTAGGGTGGAATTACTCCCGCGTGGCCGCGCTATATTGATGCGATTGACGGCGTTGATCAATCCATATTATGAATCTACTTCTCGCGAGAAACATTTGAAAACAAATAATCGGTATAATTATTTTTTAATTTTGTACCTTATTTTGTTAACCTTGACTTTTCAATCGAAGCCTATTTTGGACAATCCAGCGAGCTTGTAACATCATCTATTTTCAGAACTGTCGGATTAATTTGTTTAAGGTGCGCGCAGAAATTTTACTGGTTGCCCTCCGCATTCTATTTTTTATTCAAACAAAATCACTTTAAAATTTATATTTAAAATCTGGAGTCACCTATGTATATGTAAAACCATGAATTTTGTTACTAGTAAAACAGTAGATATTAAAGTGGGCTATAAGAATATCTTCAAATAAGATCTTCAAAAAGTCGAGTTCAAACAGTGCTTACAGGCGGCTGTTTGCGGGGAGAAGTCGTAAATTGTCACTCCGGACACAGAATTAGATAATGTTCATTCCGCGCCTTTTAAATTAAACCCAAGTATGGCGACTCGTCTCGTGACTGAGGGCCTCAATTCCGCATCAATCTGACCGTGAACGTTTAATGAAAAATTACAAGGACGTAGACGTATATTTTCGTGATCTTACCAATGTCCCCAGGATATTTTATGACACCGGTGCGGGCCAGTCCTCTTTAATATTTCAAGATTTAAATTAAAATTTCGCTCAGAACAAATAATGATACGAGTATAATTAAAAGTATCAAACATGCAATTTTGTTTTAAAAATTGTATGAGTCACTTCTGTTTATTGATTGCATTTTAGTTAAAGGCCAGTGGCTGGCCTTTGTCTATCATGTGTATCTTTAAACATAAAATATGTACATTTATACTTATACCTTTATGCAGCAAACAATAGCTCAAGACATCTCACACCTTACCAATACACAAATTATTTCAAGAAGAAAAACATGATCACTTGGTTATTCAAAACACGTACCTTAACGCCGATCTTTCATTGAATACTACGCCTCACTCTCGAGGCAACCCAGAAAGATGTGACACACAAACCGATTACAAACAGAACAAAAATAAAAGAGCTGTGTGACCCTACAGGAGCGTATTACTGGAAGCGGGAGCCAGCCTGGACGAATCTAAGAGGCATGTGGGGCAAGCGGTCGCCACCCGAGGACCCGCTAGACAGGCCCGAGGAACACGGTAACCTTCTGCTGCGTCTTAGCCTTCTGTGGGGGTCTGTTGTAGTGCTTGGCTGACACATTCGGGATAGGAAGCGATTTGAAGAAAGTGCCTGTATGTGAATGAGTACACTAAAGACACTTTCTCCCATCAAGATGGATAGCGTTATCCATCATGAATTGACATTTGCCTTTGAGATGTAAACGCAATTAGCTGTCTATCTTATAAAGACTATAACTATCCTATCTATAGTAGGTATATTATAGAAGATTTTTGTCTGATTTAACGTGAACATTTTTTTAATTTTTATAGTTTTTTAAAGAGTCTGCTAGTGAGACACACAATTATTATTAACTTGTGTTTTGACTTTTTGTGGTCAAATTCTGGTAACAAAACTACATATATTACTCGTAAAACGCGCATAAAACAAGTAATGTAGCTCAGCCAATAATAATACAACAGATCACTCTACAATCTTCTAGTGTCTTCCTTGTTTAGTTCTCACTGTCCTCTGATCACCCTCTTGATGTTCACTCCGTAGCAACATTCGAAAGCACTCTACCTGTGTCCACTGTCCATTTCTCCAAACGCTGTAGAATCTCTGTTATCTGTGTAGTTAGATCTATGCTAGTAGCTAGTCCTCTTCCAAATCTTCTTCTCACATCTTCTGTCATCATATCATTATTCTCCATGTTTGGCGTATTGGTGTTTCGGTGAAAAGGTTTGTATAGATATTAAATGTATAATAATATGATAGATAATGTAAATAATGCCCACCATCGTCCCCCTATGTGAAAGGAATAATATTTTCCAAATTGAATACAGGTAACCCTATCATACAAGTAGTTATTTTGTAACAATGTATAAGATACCAGTTAGTCTAAACTTCGAAAGAGTTAATAAAATAAAAATACAAAGAAAAGTTCTATGCCGACCTATTTCCTTAACAGAATAACTCGTTGAATGCTTAAGTTCATTGAGCAGTGAAAATTGGAATGCTTAACAACAAGTCAATGTAACTCCTGTGCATCAGATCAGTGGCTGCGTATCAGCGATTGTCGCAATGCCCTTTTTGTAATTTTTACTTAACTCAATGAAACTTACAACTATATCGACTGTCGTCATGTCGTGAATGAATGGTGATTATCAATGATGTTACTGGATCCCAGAATCCATCGCGGCTAGCTGACGAGCCACAAAATGGCGCGACCTGACTGAGACCGTAATCTGTCAGACACTAGCTCAAAAGATACAAATTACCCAAGCTCAATTTTCGAGCGTGTTAGTGGAAAACATATTATTATTATCAATTTTCATATTAAATCAAGTTTCGATAATTTAGAATCTGTTAGCGTAGTTGGATTAAAATTTATAGAATATAAATATTCCTATCACGTAAACAAATAAAAATACATTGGAATATATTAGAAGAAAATATATTGAAATATATTATAAAAAATATTAGAAGAAAATTTAAGAAAAACTGAATGTAATAAAATTCCAAAATCTGTCCATTTCAAAAATGTCTGACCTAAGTATTATCTTCCCGGGCTGTGGCTAGATATCGCTGTGCGAATGTAACTGTTACTGCCGCCGAACACTCTTCGTGGCTGTGATATTATACTTTTACGATCATTTTACGGCGTGTAAAACGTGCTGAAGTAAGTTTTCAGTCTATAGGTATATTATACCTATACTTACTACGTAACTACGAATTACTAAACCGTTTCATCGTACGATTAGTAAAACGTGAGGTAGAGTCAGCTCTACTGATCAAAATAAATAAGTTATTGATACGCTACATTAGACAAATCTTCCACGATATATTTTTTTCAGATTTAAAAAAATATATTTGTTTAAAAAATAATATTCATCGATTCACTTTCTTTGTTTAAAAAAATATCTCTAGAGACGATTTAGCTGTAAATGAAATAACATAGCTTCACATTTAATATCATCATGACAAGTGTGCTGGCCACATTTACAATAGTCACTGTTTTACGAGTAGATTATATTATTCCCCTTTCCCCTTAAGCCCCAAAACCCTGTTGTCTAACTCGAACATATTATTCCACGTTTACATCAAGTGCTTAGCTATCTTATTTCGTTCCTAAGCAAACCAAACGTTTTATTGATACATTGGTAGAGTTAATTATTACGAGTACACATACCCGGTCTCGCAAGTTGGCGGCCTACGCATCAATTCGCCGCAAAACGAAACAAAGGCCGTTTAGGCCTCTTATTAACGAAGAAGCTGACTTCATCGAGGATATTAATCTCCGATAAACTCTGCCGCTCTTCATCCACCAGCTTTTGAGCATTTACTTTGTACTTTCCCAAAGGATGGAACAATAAAAACTCAAAGTCAGCAGCCGAGATGAGCATTGTTTTAATTCAAGTGCTTCCTTCCGAACCGTTGTTTACTTAGTATTTGGGGTAACTGGCTAAAATCGTAATATTGCGTGTGTTTTCAAATCTTAAGGCTCGTATTCTGAATCGACGTTTAAAACTCTCGATGTTAAGTCAAGAATCAAGCCTGCCATTATTCTTAATAGGTACCTACTAAAATTGAAAGTAATTTTAAGTATATGAATTAAGTGCGTTCTCTCATTCTGTAATAAGTAAATAGATTAATTCAACTTTTACTACTTAGCCAAAGAATACCTATGCATCATTTCAATATCTGTCTTCATTAAATTTTGTACTTTCTCTCCAAAGAAATATAATTAATAACAAGCTTGAAATCCAATTTGATTCTTAAAAATGATAAATTAATTGTCTCAACTTCGTAATGAGGTAGGTACTTCCAGAAGCGCAGGCTCAACAGGAAAATCAATGGCAAAAACATTGCAATGCAAAGTTGAGCCCACAAATATTTCATCTCCTCAGAGTGAAGTGTTTTGCCGATTGAAATTAATTAAGACAAAGTTCGTCGGCTAATTATTTGGGCCGCAATCCGCACCGCGCGGAGCCAGCTCAAACAAACTTATTCAATTGGAATTATCCACTCTACTCGTAAGGCATGATCATCAAAAATGAATATGGATACAACCAAGTGACAAAGTTAATTAAAAATACATCTGAATTTAACTTTTACAAATGTATTAAAATAATAGCATGTTTATGCCGAACTGTCTTTAAACAAGTTTTCAATATAAATCAAGAATCAGAAAGACAATTCAAATTTTTAATGCTTAATAGCCGCTCTCTTGTAGAGTTAGTATTCGCATGGAACTTTTACGATTTTTAACTAAATACTTACTGTATTAGGTATTGATTAGTTATTAGGTACTGAGTTAGTGACATAAATAATTGATTTCCAGTGACATTATTTATTGTTTTTGTCTCTGATCACATTATTTTGTACATGTCCCTCTACAGAGGAAGGTTAATAATATAATTGATGTCACTAATTGTGTGGAGTACTACACTTCAATCTTTCGACGAAACGTAATAACTGTGATAAAGTATGTCGCCAGAGAGCGTATATCAGCTTTACCCAAAGAACACTACTCGTATGTATTAAAATGTTTGTATTTGTTTTACAGAAAACAGCGCGCCGCGGGATGAAGCCTAGACAACTGGAAACTGTATTATAACTAAGATACTTAGCCACCACAGTCATATCTACATGTAGGAACAATACTCTCTGTCCGCTTCGAACAACATTATTTGTCATATCCCCATGTTAACCCTAAAGGTGACTAATTCTTTTCACTCCCAACCAGTGGAAAGCATTAGTCGACGACCTGAGTTCCTAGTACTTCAGTTATCGTATTTTTCTATATACATGTATATTACTATCCCTTTGAGATTACGTACAAATATAGCTCTACGAACTATGTCACCTTCTAGAATAATCTATTTCCTAAGGCCGAGTTACATTGAGACACGCGCTTATCGTGAAGCGTCAAGCGTAAGGCGAACAAATGTGAAGTGAATGCAATGCTTTCTTATCATAAGTGCACCAGCTACATAATAGAAATACCTACATACAGAAACCAGTTGAAAACATTGTATTTTCAGGTCACAATTTATCACCCATAAAAAGATTCAATTATTATTAGCGCTGATAGTGTGGAAAGAAGGCTGGCTATGTATGTGCTCCAAGCACTCGCGACTACTCCCCGCTCTGCTTGACGCCCCGCGTTACGCGCTGCATCTCTTCAAAACGCGGCCTTAGCTAGTAGGAAACGTATAAATTATTTTTACGATCTTTGATATACACGCTGTTAGGCAGGCGTAATATGTAATATTGAGCTAGTTAGTTGAATTAATTAATAAATTAATTGTATTTTATTAGAGACGTTGATGTAAATTGTACTGGTACTTCCTCGGAAGGCGTTTGTCCAATAAAAGTTTATTCGGAAGCCGAATGTTGTTTTATTTAAGAATCCGTCGTCGTCGTATCAAGCGGCGATTAGCGCCGGAAAACTCATAGAAGAAGATGGAGGCAATATACAAATTCTCAATCTCGTGGTATAGTAATAATTATACTAGATACAAATGGACCCTGTCGGACACAGTATTTCACAAACTATCTTGTTTTTTAACATACTGACGAAAAACCTCCTGGTAAATACTTAACTGTCTAGTATAAATAGCTTCTTCTATGTTTTTATCACTTAAGAAAATAAAATTAGGCTGTAATTTAATGTAAGCACTAACCTGAAATGAGCAAAGGTTTTGATCTTATTACAAGTAGGTACGAGTAAGATTGGATTCGGCAGACCCAAGCAGGCCACTATTTACTAGCTGTAACGATTCTAGGATACGAATTCATTTCCGAAGACAAAACCACTAATCGTGTGGGCTGTAACCAGAACAATAAATCGCGGGCAGCAAAGGTAAGTACCACACGAAAGCCTTACACCCTGCCAGGGTTTAGTTTTGTATAGACAACATTAAATAACATTTAACATGCAAAAAATCTGGGTTCGATCCTCATTAAACGAGGTGGTTCAAAGTTCAACAAATGAAATAAATGACCCAAAATTAAGATGCAGGCAAACAAATTTAATACTAAACAAAATACAGGTAGTAGTGAAAATAAGGGTTTAAAATAAGCGCAAATACACATGCGGGGCCCGCATAAATTACAAATATTCAACAACAAAAAAATTAAGTACGTAGGTCTCCCAAGCTGTGTCCATGCGATTTCACACAAAATAGAATATTACAATCGATCCACAGAGACCAAATTTAGGTTGCTCTGACGTCATCCTGTTAATATTTTTATCTGTTTTTATAGAGCCATCACTCGGGCAAAGTGGGGAACATCTGTTTGCGAGCCATATGCTTATTGTTGACTCGTTGAGGCGTCTCTACCCTTCCCTCATGCCGAGTAAAGGATGAATTCCGTGACGCAGTCTTCGAGTATCTTTGTGTATAACAATAGTCTTAGTAACAGTATAACACGTAAAGACTCTCCAATTTTGGGACCTCATCATCAATGGACATTCAAAATACACTCAACATCAAATAAACCGCACCTTCCGCGACGCGAACTTTAAAGATTTTCTTCTGACACAATTATGGTACCCCAACAATATTGGTGTTATTTGAAAGTCCAATAAATATCTTTAAAGAAAAATACATTTCATTACTAAATAAATGATTAACATATACCATAAATGTGACTTGAAAATAGACCTCACTTTGGGCTCACCTCTGGGATCAATTAGACCAATTTTTATGGTTATAAAACCAAACAAAGATCTCACGTGTCCTCTTTAACAGATGGATAGCGATTAATCCCAACTTAACAGTTTTATAGTCATAAAAAATGGCTATAGCGTAACTACCTATTTTTTGAAGAAGTGACTCTGGATCCTTGTAAAGACACATTTTTGTGGTAAAAACCTTTCCTTTAATGAAATTAAGTTTAGAACTAGGCTTTCAAATGGTACCAATGTTGGTGGGAAGTGGGGATGCATACGTTTGATAAGTGCTTGTCGCGGGAGGTGCGATTTATTTGATGCCGAGTGTAATTTAAGCCATCTTAATAAGTTCACTCTAATCAACAACACCTCTCAAAATACTGGACCATGTCTGCGACTTGCTCATTCATATTTTTTTCCGTAAACTAAAAGGTAAATGAATAGGACAAATATGATGGCGATTACCGGGAGAGTCGTCTGGATCGCATTACTTAATACCTCCCCTCGGAGCAATCGCCAGATTTGTGTGGCCGAGTACACCACTGTAGACATGTTTGCTCATTCACTCAGCTTTCTGACGCTGATAGCAGTATCGCATAACATTGTGGGATCACAAGACATGCCATTTCTCTTACAAGATACACGTGTAAGTCTGCGGCCGACGGCGATACGTGGTATGGAAGTGAGTGTGATGCCGCGAGTAATTATAATTGAAAACTGAGTAGGTATCTAAAGAGTGTAGTATTACAGTTTGTGAAACCACCACGCTCGTTTTGCGCACAACTATTCTGAATAACTTAATTTCCTGTACAATTTTGTCTAATAATTATGTCAAGGGACTTTACCTATAACCAACCAACTTTTACCTATAACAAAAAAAAACAAGCTTGATTAAATGGTATATATTTATATGATTATATATTTATACATATACCATATGATTTCTCACAGCTCAAAGAGAATAATAAGAGTTAGTACAATGAAGGTACTAAGGGAGAGTCCGGTAATTTGGACCAGTTTTTTTCAATCCCATTTTACACATAGTTCTATTTTCTTTTTGATAATGTTCATGGTATATAATTAAAGAGAAATTATTCAACTTACTATTTCATAGGTTCAATGCAATTGTTGTATATTTAGCACAAATCAAGAAAATACGAGTTCAGAGCATCGGTCCAATTTAGCCAACCGGTTCGATAATTTGTACCACAGGGTTACTAAATTGGATTTCAATAAATTTCAAGCCTATAAAAAAAACTATGGAAAAATATTATACGATACATTCTTAACAAATTAGGTAACGAAAAGGAACAGTAGTTAATAACATAGACAATCGATATTGTTTTACACGTTATCACGATTTTGAGTAAAAGTTTTGTAATTCCAATTATCGTAACGCACATTTGTACCTCATCTACTTTGCCAGTCTTTTGCTTTCATTTATTGTTAGTTAAACATAACTTCGCTATTATAACTTCAAAATATATGATTGACTAAAAAAAAATTCAAAATCCTTTGGTAAAGTTCCATACAACTTAATGTGGTACAATTTAGCCGACTAGGTGATAGTGCTTTTAAAAAATCGGTAAAAAATGTAGCTTATAAATACCGAAAAATGTTTCAAATAATTGTAATCCACACTAATTTACGTTCCTAAATAATATATTAGAAACACCCTGTGATTAAATTTAACAAAATTGCAAACTAAACATGCATTGTCAAAAGTTACTTGAAAACAATGAAAAAATACTTTTCAAAATAAAACACACGTGTTCGTTGTCACGGCTAAAACCACATGGCCGATATTAATTGAATTTAGTTGTGTATCGCTGAGTGTTGCAATTACAGACATTCAATAAATACTTTACGAAATATGAGGGTGGTACAATTTACCCGGCGGTACAATATACCAAACTCTCCCCTATATTGTTCATCATAGTCAATGTTTTGTTTATTATAGATTATAATAGTCTCCTAAGCGTGAAGGTAATGCGAGTAAACAGTAATATATTATGCATTAATTCACTAGCTTAGACTTGGCCCGAGTCTATCAAGAAGCTTAAGATAATTAATGTTGTGTGCAACATTATCCTCTCAAATTAGCTCTGTCTCATTCGAAATAAGCTTAACTTAAGCTCGAAGCTCTTTGGCCGTGCCGGCGAAGTCCGACACACAAGCTCATTATTTAATTATTAAACCGTACCTACTCCGTTGTGGAGTCACACCTGTTTGGTTTTATACAGGACTCAAAATAAATTATTGCTCATTTAATTAAGGAAAATACATACTACTCGTACATTGATTTGCTTGACATATATGAATAGAACTGCGTGTTTTAAATTCAAATTCATTAGGGAGATATTTGTTACACTATCTGTGAAACTCTCATAGAGATATTTAGGTCTTTGGTTTGTCCAGCAGCAGTCCAAGCAGTGGACGTCCTTTGGCTGAAACGAATTTGTATTCGACGAATAGGTACCTACAATTTTTTTTAATGATTGTTTTAATTTCATACTTATTGTAAAGCGCCAAATAAACTCTTTCAACGAATCAACAAAAAGTTGTCAAGTCAAAATCAAATTCATTCATAAAACGGGTACTACTTAGTTGATATAATTTTTGTCGATCGAAAGCAATTTCCCCGCAAATGTGTTTGTGGCAAATAGACACGATCCGTGTATAAACACTCGCGCTGAAATTATTCCGACGACGTATCCTACACTTTAATTTACAAGGCGGAGATGTCTCTTGAGCGATATCATTTCGCAATTTTAAGATTTATGTTGTGACAATAAAGCCGGTGTACATTAGTTACGTAGCTGCTTTGTCTGCACATAATTCAGAATTAAATCTAAAGATAAATTCGTCACAAATGTGTGCTAAGTAGAAAATAAACTTCATTTATAGTACATTTCTTTATTTAGGAAGACGAAAATCATAAGCGACTTTGCCCACCTCTCGTTCTCACCACTGCAATTCCTGTGTAGCTATGATGATTATGATTATAATCTTCATTGAGACCTCCAACGAAGTCTCATTCAAGTTACAGGTTCAACAGCGACGACAATAAATATGTGACAAACATTAATCTTATTGCGTTGCGTGATCTGTTTTTAAACTAACTATACCTATTTTAATTCAACGATCCCGCAAAATCTTCTACACCGTGTAATGTAATTCAACAAGCCTACAACAAAACAGCTAGATGAGAATTACTTAATTAGCTTTACTGATAAAATCACATCATTATGCGAGACACACATTTACGAGTATATCAAAAAGGGAATCTAATAAAGGAAATTACAAACTTTCTACATTTCACATTCCACAACCTGTTTCATTTAATTGTAAGCCAATTATCAAAATTACTTCATCAAATATTTAAAAGGGTATACCTACATAGTTAAGAACTTTACGATGTTAACTTATATTCGCCCGTGGCTTCACTCGCGTCTGTCATTAAAAATTAACTTCGCATTGGATTCATGGTCATTTCAAATATCATGAATTCAAATTCTGTTTTATGTACCTACTTACCATCTTTTTCAAAATATTTTGATTTTGTTATCTAGAATAATCTAAGGTGAGAGTGAACTAACACACAGTATATAAAAGAAAATGAATGAATGATAAGATTTTCTCCGTATCCTACTAACCCTCCTCCTACTAACCTTTGCCAGTCTGGCTATAAATGGCAAATAGTTTTCTTA